TTTATTAATAAATTAAAGAGCTTTAATTACACGTATTTTCACTTTACTTTTTAACTTTTAAACGTTAATTATAGGTATTTTCACGGTTAAACGCGTTTAAGTTTAAAATTAAGCCGCGTTAGTAATTAGGCCACGTTAGTAATAAGCATTACCTTTAGGTGGTGAGTGAAACGAGGCCCCTAAAATAGTGAGGCGTGGCACGAGTAGCTGGCTTGGACTATTTATTTACCTTGTTCGATACCGTCTCCGAGTCTTGAGCCAATTTGACCACATATCCTCCGAGCCTCCCGTAGCCTCAGTTCCAGTTCCTGAAATGGCTGCCCTATGCCATGTGGCCGTGTCTTGTGACCAGGGAATGGACCAAAGGAGAATCGAAAGGAGTAGAATACTATTTGCAAATGATAAACTCCGGCACGTGTACTCGACGCCAGCTAGTTCGGGTCCCCATTCTCACCAAGCATACCGAGTTGTTAACCTCTGAGAACCTGATGGAAGCGCATCTCAAGGTAAAACACGCTACATATATATATTGATTCTGTATAGTTGCCACACAGGTGTCTCGTGCTCCTGGCCGCCACTAACAAATTCATCATGTGTGCGCCTCACCTCAAGGGTATGCCGGATGGGTTCACGGTCTACATTTTGACACGTGTGTGTTTTTGATGCTTGCTGCCAGGAATTAGGGGCCTTTCTCTGCTCTCAGTCTTGGTCCTCCGTCTGTTCGCGTCTGTCATCAACAATACTGTAATTGCCCTCAACGTGCTCAACCCGCTGCCAACAGTGGCATCCCTGTGGTGGAATCTTTCTAGCTTGCCCATGGTCTGTGAGCACATGTCTACTTCTCGAGTAGTCCCACGGCAACGGCCTGATCCCATCACGTACGGGCACTTACTCGTGGACATGTAGCTCGATATTTCAGCTGGAGCAACATCTCCCCGTTGCTGCGCTCAATCAAGATGGACCAACATGCGCTCATGCACGAATAGATCGCAATGGCACAGCAGCAGCCACGTATCTGCGGCACGACGCACAAGCCACCAGCCATCACCTTCCACAGATGCTGTGTTGGGAAACCTCGGTCGATGCCCGATATGGCTTCATCGGTTGCTGATTAGAACGGAGTCCTGGCATATACCCCATAAGTTCTGTCGTATCCCATGTTGTACGCTTACAGAATGCAGCATGGCCGCCATGGTCGGGTGCCAATGGCTTCATGACGGCTGGGGGTTGAATCATCATGGTTTATGCATGTCGGTGGAACTGTCATCAATTCATAGTCCAGAGCCCGGATAGGGATAGGAAGTAACTTTGCAGTTTACAGGAAGGAGCGCTTCGCCTTTGTGCAGCGTAAACAGACGAAACACCTCCGACTTTGCAATCTCCAGTAGCTTTACTCAACTGTTTGATACACTCATCCTTTGCTTTGATTCGCCATGCCTCACCTAATCTCTAACACACCGTTGGTCAAGTATACTCATCCTCCCGAGACGAAAGAGAGTCGTAAGTAGGGGAGTTTTCCTCCGATTCTCAGCATCAAAGTGCCACGAGTGTGTTGACAACCTGCAGTCCCCTATGCTGACCTCGTCACTCTCGACCTCTCCGAGTATAACAAGCCAGGAGGAATGGAGAGGCTGGCCGATCAGCTTAGACAAGCAGCTCACACCATCGGTTCGCACTCACCCCTTTCCCCAGCAACAGTCTCTGGCAGCACGCCAACCTGACATGAAGGTATTTCCCAGGCTTCTTCTACATCAACAACATCGGCCTCACGCAATCCCAAATCGACCAACAATTCGCCATTGCAAAATCCTTCTTCGCTCTGAACCCCTCGGAAAAGCTCCAGTTCCGCGCCCCTCTCGAGGATGGCAACTACAACGGCTACCGTCCTCTTGGCTCCGTGGAGATTCTGCCCGGCCTTCGCGACAACCTGGAATCCTACAACGTCTTCAAGTTCCTCCCCCAGACGCAACGGCCGCAGCCCCAAATCATAGAGGAATACGCATCACAAATTGAACATTTTCAGCGACACATGCACGAAAATGTAACCTACAGGCTCCTTCGCCTCGTTGCGCACATACTAGAGTTACCCGAGGACGTCCTCGTCAACGGGCACCGGTATGAGGCAAACTGCGACAGTTCTCTGAGGTACATGATGTACCGAGCTAGGTCGGAAGCTGAGAACAAGAAATACAAAGGTCTATATCTGCGTGGGCATTCGGACAATGGGACATTGACATATGTCTTTCAACAACCCGTTGCGGCGTTGCAAGTGAGGCGTGGCCCGGATTCGGAATGGGAGTATCTACGCATTCCCGAGGGCAAGGTGGCTGTGAATATTGCGGATATACTGGAATTCTTGTCGAATGGGTACATCAAGAGCGGCATACACAGAGTAGTTGCGCCGCCAGGTGACCAGGCGTGCATGGATCGACTGGGTCTGTTGTATTTTGTGCGCCCGAGTGACGACTTGCCCCTGAAGACGTTGGACAGTCCGTTTCTGAGGAGCGTGGGGTATGGGAAGAATGGGAAGAGGCATGATTTGGATATTTCGGCGACGGAGTGGGTTAGGGCGAGGGTGAGGAAGAATTGGAAGGGGTCAGTGAGGGAGGGCGTCGATACGAGGGAAGGGTTTTTGGCAAAGGTGTTTTACACATGACTAGTGGGGGACGTGGTTCCTGTAGGCATGTTTTTACACATTACTTTATAGCCTGAATTCCTACGGAGTAAGCTTGTCACAATTGACTGCTTCTTGTCATATTGAAAAAAAAAAGGCTTCTCGTGTATCATCTCGTATGTGAGTGCAAAAGTACGACTTGAGGGCACGGAGGGCCGGAGACAACACGACACCCCTTACGTAATGGACAACTCGCACCACGTCAAATCATCTAGAACAATGTCATTCTTCCGGACCTAAGCATAAATCCTAAGCCCCGGGTGCCGAGACTCCAGGAGGGTGCGCGCGAGACACCCCTCCCCTCCCGCGGCTGAGACAATGTGACGAGTTGCAGAACTCCATGTACGGAGTACTCCTCACTCTGGCCAGCGCACTCGTACCAAGCTATCAGCGCCAAACTGCGAGAAGCCCGTCCCTAGGCTACCTCACAAGCTACCGTCAGCACGCTGTTCGCAGCAAGCACCGCGACAAGACGACTCGCTCACTTACACGGGCGGTGTGCCTGTGCTCCTGGGCACTACTCCCCTCCCACCCCCCGTTGAGGCTCCTTGGAGGCGGTGTGCTCCCTCATGAGGGTGTTCTGCTCCTCGGACGAATACGAGGGGTGTGTTTTTCCTCTCAGTGTCGTCGTGTGAAGTCCCTCGGATACGGCAGAGCTGGTCCTCGTAGCCTCGTAGTAGCGTTCGGCGGCTGTCTCGAGTGAAACATACAAAGCTGTTGGCATTCAAAGCTTTGGCACTCTTCTGCCGAAGAAAGCTGTCGACTGACAAGGGACCTTTGTCTAGGTCCAGTGAGGCTGATGGAACTTGTGTACGGAGCATTGCCGACTGCGGCACTTTCCCAACAAATGGGCTTTGGGGAACAATCCCTCGCTGCTGGTGGTTTTCCGTGATGATGGTTGAAACGGTATACTCGGCTCGGTGCAGTTGGGTTCCCACACCGGAGTTGGGCTCGTGGTTGCCCGCCCCCCGGGAAACCCATCTGGCAAACGCAAGCCATACCGAGATAAATGGGATACGGCTGCTGTATCGTCGTCGCCTCTTGGTCCGGAGAACCATCTACATGCGCGAAATCAGCCATCCTATGCATACACGGGTTCACTGGCCACCTGTAGACGACATGGCTTCTGCTCCCATCCTCCCCCCCTCCCCCCGGTTTTGCGCTTCTATAGGTTCTTTTGCTGGTCCCGTCGGCATGGAACCAGAGTGACAGGGCCCTCAGGGGAGGACATTTCCCAAATAGGTGATTGAACCTGGCATGACAAGATCTTTGGCCAAACAGCCGCCACTACCACTACTGGGTGTGCGTGTTGGAGGCGGGGGATCCATACGGTGTAAATATCCTTCACTGCCCTCCCCCTTCGTGGTGAATCCGTCTTGTTGTAGGGGCCTTGGGTAGTTTTCGACGCTGCTTTTGCTCTGTTGGCATTCGCTGTCCTCCATGTTTGGAACCCTTGCCATAGAGAGTCTTCTGCTTTGTCTCTGCTTCTGTTCCTTCTTTGGCTTGTTGCGTTTCGTTTCGTTTCACCCCGCGGTTGTATGGTTTGATGTCGTATACTCGACCTGCTGATTTCTTTGCAAGACAGGCAACTATCCTAGGCCCTTGGAGAGCTCCGACAAAGCTGCAAAGATGGACTCAGGGCGCGGGCCTCGAGGTTTGACAAGATGACCACTCCCCCCCGCAAAGGATTGTGCCGTTCTCACTGACCAATACCGGCAGGCACTGCGTCTGACGAGGACTATGAGGACGGCTTGTACACGGATTACAGCCACAGCGGCGAGCATGAGCATGAGCATGAGCATGACAGGTACCCGTACGGAATAAGGCGCTACCTGTACGACCCCCAAACCCCATTGCACAGGCTTCACCTGGCCTCCTTCTCAGACTCGGAACAGTACGCCCTGGTGCCGGGGCAGATGCCATCGTGGCGGGTCCAGGACGGGGTCGAGTCGACGCACCCGCTGCGCAGACGCAGGCCGAGCCGCGCAGGCGGGCATCGAGACGGCCGCGGCCGCCGCCGCCGCCAAAGCACGAGCACCATCCTCTCCTCGCCCTCTCGCTTGCCGTCCGTGTCCGCGTCCAGCAGGTCCCCGTCCCTCGTGTCCCTGCATCCCGCTCCGACGTCCGTGCCCGCCGCCGGCAGCTCGGGCCCGGACTCGCGCGAGCCGCCCTCGAGCCACCAGACCACCACCGCCACCACCACCACCACCACGCCGGCCTCGTGCCAGCCGCCGCCTGAGAATGCTGCGGCAGACAGGCCGACCGGCCCAGAACACGATGAGAACCACCACGCCCTTGGACATGGCGACGGCCCTGTGCCGGACGGGCCGGACATGTCCACGTCGGCAGCCACCACCGACCGCCAAGCTGCCATCTGGGGTCACCACCACATCATACCCGACAGCGGTCCCTTCGTGATAGAGGGCTGTGGCCCATATACACTTGACACACCCGACTGGGATCGGGATGCGGCAGGCATTGAGTACTGGACCTTGGACATGATTGATGCAGAATTCGAGGCGTTTGAGAAGGAGGACGACGCTGCCCAGTAGACCGTGGGCTTCGCAGATAGATGAAACGGGCCGGCAGACGGCAGGGACTGGGCAAGCGCAAGCGGGGTCATATATGGCATGAGATCACGACATCATCACGGGGGACATGGCGCAAACAGGCTCTTCTCTCCCCCCTCACTTCTCTTCTTCTTTCTTTAGTCAACTGCGCATGTCATAGAGGTCATGTGTGGTGGGCGGCACGGAGAACTTGGTATTCATTTAATTTGAAATCGAACTCGAAACCGTTCCCCAAACTCCGAGAACCAGGCCCTATTCCGGCCTACCCTTGATCAAAAAAAAATATCCTCGTCACTGCATTTTTGGGTTTTTTGAAAAACGGGACTAGGTCCTCCCAATCCCATCTTCTTCCGCAGCGTTCCTCATGAAACCAGTGGCATCATGCCCTTTACTCCTCGGCGAGAAGAGCCTTGATCTTGTCCTGGACGCGCTTCTCCTTCTCGGCCTTGGTGGACTTGGTCTGTCTGTACTTCTTGGAGATGGCCTTCCACTCCTCCTTGGTCTTCTTGGGGCCGTCGCTCTCAACCTTCTTCCAGGGGTCGGCGCGGATGGCGGCGTGGGCCTCGGTGTAGAGGTCCTCGAGGCTGTCGGCCTCGAGACCGTCGTCAATGTACTTCTGGAACTGGCTCTGGTAGCGCTCCTCGTCGTCGTCGGCCAGGGTCTCCATGTACTCGGCAACGTGGCCGCCAAAGATGTACTTCTGGAGGACCTCGGTGTCCAGCTCCTCCGACTCCATGTCGTAGCCGGGGAAACGCTTCTCGGAGTGGGGGATGAAGATGCCGCCGTCCGAGGCGCCCTTCATGGCACCAAAGACACGGGCGCCAGTGGAGGTGCGGGCGAGGCCGACATCGAGGAAGACCTTGAAGGGGCGGCGCGGGCCGTCGTCGGTCTCGGCAACCTCGGTGAGGGTGAACTCGCCGTCGGGCTCCTCGACGCCGACAAAGTCCTTGTCGAGGCCGAGCTTGGACAGGGCACGGCGGGCAATCAGGAGACCGGTGGCGTAGGCGGCGGCCCAGTTGGTCAGGCCGTGCTTGATGCCGTAGGCCTTGAGCTCGTGGCCGTAGGCCGAGGCAAAGATCTTGTCGCCAGTGATCTCGGCAGTCACAATCTGCATGATGATGTCCTTGTTGGTGAAGCGGACGACCAGGCGGTACTTGGGCGCATTGTACTTGTTCTTGGCCTGGGTGATGAGGCGCTTGCGGGCGTAGTAGTCAGTCTTGCCTTGGCGTCTGCGCTTGTACTTGGTTTGGTAGCGGCTGGGGGACCACGGTCAGCACAATCCATTCTCTCGTATTTGCCGAGACACGCCATCACGAGCGAAGCGAGGCCCAAAAAAAAAAGAGAGGCATACCTGTAGTAAGCGCTGTTCTTGACCAACTTGTGGAAAGGCTATTCAAAAATCCCCGAGTCAGCAATTTGCGCTTCAGACTTGCTCGTCCTCCTCCCGAAGCAACTTGCAGTGACTCTGTGTGTACCACGAGCAAGAATCGACAAATGCAGGCATTTCTGCCATTGATGAAGAAATTGAATCATTTTCAGAATGGTGCTGCTCTTTCGAGCGCCCGCATCCTGTAGATAGGCCTTTCAACTTACCATCTTGACGGTGATTACCAACGACGGCTGGGAATTTGCTGTCGGGAAGTTGGATGGGTTGGTGATGCGGAACAAGAAAAGGAGGACAAGATGAATTTTGGTGGGGGGATATTTTTCAAGCCCTAAGCGTGTGAAACCCCTGCTGTTGGTGGACTCGCTCGTTAAAAAAAATGCCCCACTTTGAAGTCGTGTAAGTCGGGTTGGTTACGATTCACGTGACCGTGAAGCTCCTTTTAACAGACAAGTTACGCGTTTGGCATTGCTGGTTTTTTACGGTGACGTCGTTTGCGAATCGGACTGAGTTGCATTTACCTCGTACGTCTCGTGGAGTACTCATTCAATAGCCCTCTTCATATGAAGCAGTGGAATTGCGATTAGAACCATATTATGCTAGCCGTCGCTGCAACAACCGGCTGACTGTTACACCTGCCCAGTCCTGCTATAGATTTAACCCTGGGCTAGTCTTGTCTCTCGAGTGAGAGCTCCATAAGTTTTGCGTTCCATTCCTCTATTATGCGCCGGCTTTCTTCTCTCGCCTTTTTCATGAGGCGGTGGTCAGAACTGGAACTTGCATAAACTATTGTAGTATAGTGCGCAATAGCCTGGCACCTATCTGGTCGTGACTCGTTTGCCCCTCCGTGTGTACATCTACGAATCCATCCAAGAATTTCCTTTGCCCATCATCGACATCAACACTCTCTTCGGTAGTACATATGCCTGGTGCTCGAAAGCCCATAGAACTAAAAAGAGTCCGCTTTTTTTTTTCTCGTCGATTCAATGCACCATTATTCTCCCCAGTTCCTTGGTGGTACAAGAGCTGAATCCTGTCATCGTAATCGTGCTGCATCCCGGGTAGCCACAGGTGGTCCGTATGCATGTTTGCTCGTCCTCCTCGAGCTCATCAGTCCATACATATGGCCGGGACAACCATTTCTTGTTTCCATGGCCGACAACAGTCACGTCCCGATATTGGTTATGCAACTTCCTCCCAGCAGTTGAGCCTCCAACCAGGTATCTCTCTCCTCTAGGCCACGGAAGCACCCCAACATGACCCCTGGATCGAATTATACATACCAGTCGACCTCTTCGCTAGACGAATTCTAGCGGCTATAGACGCATCGATCAGCAAAAATCGCTCAATGGTCCTAATCCTTGAAAGATGCCTCGTCGAAGCGTTGACAGACAAGGAGCCGCGGGAAAGTTGCTTCCTCAGGCAGCACCAGTCGATTGGACCCGCCAAAACCAGCACCAAGGTACCTAGGAACCTAGGTCCCCGGCATCTTAGCTTCATCGCAGCCGAGGTTGTCTCAACAAGCAGCAACTACAGTTGTTACACACTTCACTCACCATGGTCCTCTTAGCTATAACGACACGGCACCAGCCTTGAAGGCACCACCTCCGTCCAATCTCTCTTCAAAACTATCCCACTCCATGTCTCTCCTGGGCGTAGAAGACCCCCCCATAGACCAGATCCTAGAAGCAATCGACGAGATGGCAGCCGGCAAGCAGCCCAAAGTCCTCCTATTCGACATTGGTGGTGTCTGTGTAAGTTGATTCACCAACCTCACTCCATTTAAAAAGAAAAAAAAAACACCCCAACTCACAAAACCATCGCTCAAGGTCGTGTCCCCCTTCCAAGCCATCCTAGACTATGAAATCAGCCTCAACATCCCGCCCGGCTGGGTAAACTACTCGCTCGCCCAGTCCGCGCCCAACGGGTACTGGCACAGGCTCGAGCGCGGCGACATCCCCATGGACGCCGCCTTCTTCGCCGGCTTCAACAGCGACCTGCACCGCCCGGAGCACTGGAGGGCGTTTTACGCGCGCGAGGCGGCCAGGACGCCCTCCCTGCCGCGGGAGACGCCGCCCGTGCCGCGGCTCGACGGCGAGTGGCTCTTCAACGAGATGATGACCAAGTCCAACGCCCCGGACCCGTGGATGCTGCCGGCCCTGGAGCGTCTCCGGAGCAGCGGGCGGTACATTCTCGGCGCGCTGAGCAACACGGTCATCTTCCCGCCGGGCCACGCGCTCCATCGGGCGGACGTGCTCTCGGGCCCCGTGAGGAGCCTGTTCGACGTCTTCGTCTCGTCGGCGCACGTGGGGCTGCGCAAGCCCGACCCCGACATCTACCGGCTCGCCGTGCGCAGGCTGGACGAGTTTGCGCGCGCAAACGCGCACTCCGAGAGGGGCAGGCGGCTGGGCTGGGACGAGGGCGTGCAGGCCGCCGACGTGCTGTTCCTCGACGACATTGGCGAGAACCTCAAGGCCGCCAGGAAGGAGGGCTTTGGGACCATAAAGGTCCACCTGGGGAGGGCGTACGAGGCCGTCGAGGAGCTGGAGAGAGTGACGGGCTTGCGGCTAGAGGGCGACCATCCCAAGGTTGCTATTAAGCCGCAGATGCGGCAGTCCAAGATGTAGATAGACACGGCGGGTGTTGCATTTTGCGCATGTATGAGATGGCTGAGCTGGATGGGTAAAATCATTGGTGCATTAGAAGAAAAGAAACGCTCAGCCTTCTTGTTCACCACCCCTCCTGTGCGATGAAACGTGGCGGGGACAAACAGAGATAGATTTTGCAGAGTGTTGCAATATAATTGACAAATTAAACACGCCTCCCATGCCCGAATCGCTCATCTTGGTACAAAACCCAAAATCCAAAATACGAAAAAAAAGCGTCATCATCCCAACTCCAGGTCGTCAAAATTCCACGCCGAGTTGGACAACAGCCCGGTGAACCAGACGGGCCCGTTTGAGCCCATGCCAAACGCCCTCGCACCCCTATTCTCCAGCTCCTCGACCGGCCATTCCTGCGGGAACTGGCTCGCGCTGATGCCGTCCTTGTTGGCCCTCTTCTCGAACCAGGTCCTGATCCAGCGCATCTTCCTGGCAATGTCGGCCACGCGCCCCTCGGCGGCGACCTCGGCGGGCGTCGCGTCGACGCCCATTTCCGCGACGAACCTGGCCACGGCGCGGATGCGGTCGGCCTCGGAGGCGTCGAGGCGCTGCACGAGGCGGTCCACCACGGACAGGAAGTTCATCGTCATGCGGGCAAAGTGCACGTCCCAGTCGCTCGTCTCGAGCAGCAGCAGGCGCGTGGTGATGACGAGCACAAACGTGATTTGCTCCGTGAACGTGATGGACTGGTACACGTACTGCGAGGGCGGCAGCGTGAAGAGGACGTCAAAGTAGGCCTTTGCGGCGAAGAGGCAGTTGCGCAGGCACTGCGCGCGGTACGTCGACGGCGCGCCGCCCTCCTCGAGGATCCCGTGCAGGAACGTGGCGGGCTCGTAGAGCCGCACGAGGAGGTAGTTGTAGTGCAGCGTGAAGAAGCGCTCCCAGTTGTCGAACTCGTCCGCGGGCACCTGGTGCGAGTACGCGGCGCGGTCGTG